CCCAGACGTCTTCTCTCTCTGCAGAGCCACAGTCGGAGTCAGCCAGGAGCAAGATGTGGACAGGGGTGGCTGGCATTGTGCTGGGGCTGGTCTTTCTGGCTCCCGGCCTCGTCCTCTACCTGAAGAATAAGAAAGGTGAGGAGGGGGCTTTTCTTAGGGTTAATCCTGGGCATGATTATTTGGAAGGACTGAACTTTCTGCGTTCACATGCAGAACTTCTGTTACCTCAAACTGGGTGGCAAGGGACCATTTAAACCCATAGCCCTGATCAAGTGGGAGGGCTTTGAGGATGTTTTGGGGGGGGGTGTTGTAGGAGTTGGGATTTGGTGTGGGGACTCCCCTAAAACTGAGCACCTCATTTTTGTCTTTTCCAGGGCAAAGAGTTATTCCTCAGCCACCAGGTAACTTCCCCTTTCTCTTGTCCTTTAAAGCTACAGGTGGCATTTTGGGTGCGAAAAGAGGGGAGACCCCATCACCTGCCCCTCCAGATGTCCCCCCCTTTCAGATGGGCTTCCAGAGTCTTCCAAAGGCGGGTCTCCCTTTCTAGAGAGAGTCGGGCAGATCTCCTGAGCTGGGCCAGAGGAGGATGTAAGGGGTCAAAGTGGGCTCCCCAGAGCCCCTCTGAAAGACCCCCACCTTCTTCCTCCTCACCTCCATTCCTCTCCCCCCCTCCTTCTCAGGAATCCTCTCGGTGGTTGACTAGATGAGTCCCCAGTTCACTGGAGAAGAAGCCTTCAAGTGTGTCAGGGGCCTTCCTCCATGTCTTTCTCCTGATCACCAGCAGGAGGACCCCACATGGGTGGTTCAGGCGGTTCCTAATTTGTCCAGCTTTCTTCTGAATGGCCCCCGTGCCTTGGTCTCCCTCAAGAGGCACTTGATGAATCATGTCTGGCCTGGGGGATGCCCAAAAGTGTCTTGGTCACCCCTCCCAAAGAACCCCAATCCAGGTGTCATGCACAGAACCAGCTGATAAGAGGCACCCATATGTCCCAACTTTTGAATGGCAGCTGGGAAGCGACAGGCATCTCCAGGGCTCTCTTCCTCCTCTTCCTCTTCCTCTTCCTCCCAGGGAGGTGGGGAGGGGGCCCTTTCCAGGGAGGTTGCCCACTCTTTTGATCCAAATGCCAAGTCCACGTCTTTGGTACCAAGTCCAGATCCCAAGCTCAAAAATCCCAGTTCCTATTGAAAATAAGCTTCCCCCCCCCGAGAGAAAACGGAGGGGTGGGTGGGTTCCAAATCATGAGTCAGGTCCGAGTGGAGACCCACCTGACATCTCAGCATCCTGCAAGGGGAGGCCCCCTTCCTGCCCTCCTGCCTGGAGAAGTCTTAGGCTTCAGGGACCGAGAGGTGATCTGGTCTCCTGCCAAGGGACTCATCCTCTCCAGAAAACACTTCCCATCCCATAAACTTTGCGACAACCCTTTACGTCTGACCCAAACATGACATGTTTACTCTTGACATGTGTTTTCAACAAGGAGCTTGCTAGGGTCATTTCCAAAACCGACAGAAAATCCTTATCCCACCACACTGCTTGTAATGTGAAAGACAAGCCTTTATTCCCTATTGTTTGTGTGTCTATATATACATATGGAAAAATACTTCTCTTTCTCATATATGTATTTACTAAAACTAGTAAGGAACTTTTTCCAGCATTTTCTGCCAATGTACATAAAAGACTACATCCCTTTAAGTCAACACATTCCAGCACCTAGGGCTTAACGTTTTCAGATTAAAATGGACTGCTGTTTCTGCTCAGAGCCTGACATTCAAAAATTAGTCCCTTTTCCACTGAGCATTTCTTCCTTTTAAAAGCTTGTCACACATCCTCATGAAGGATGGGAGGCTTATGACCTTAATGAGACCAGGAGGGACTAAAACGTGATGTCCCTGTTGTGTGTTTCATCAAGCAAATCACCAAAATCCTTTCCCACACTGTAACCAGCCAGAGCTGATGATACCAATATTGGGAACCCCTGAGATTTGATTTTGTGGGGAAAAAAATCTCTTTAATACAGTAGTTATCGTTAGAACTGGCAGTGAAAGGCAGAAAGGGATGAACCGGTCCATCTTTAGGACTTTCAACGTAGAGGATTCCATGAACCTCAACAGGCTTATCTCTTTCTCTCTCCTTCCGTCCTTCTCTCTCTCTCTCTTTCTCTCTCTCTCTCTCTCTCCTCCATTCACAGTGGCGCTCCTGCGTTAAACCTCCCTTCCTCCCTGAGATCCCACCACGGAGCTGAGCTTTTATCTCTCCTCTCGCTGGCCTGCCTTTCCTCCCTGGAATGCTGGAAACTCTGGAGAAAGAGCCGCCCAAAGACAGAAACTGCCTGCTAATCTTTTTCCCCCTTCATTCCTGGGTAGGGGAGATTAAGAAGAAGAAGGAAACCAGACCTATTTCTTGATCTTTTTGAGGCGTTACTGTGTCCACTGAACCTTCACACATCACCTGCCTGGGATGGCCATGTGATTCCCCCTGGATCTTCCTGCTCGAAATTGACTTGTTCACACAGACCGGGTGGAAACGTCTTTTAATTTTAAAAGGCAGCCTCCTTTTGGACAGAAGCTTCGTCATGACTTGCAATCCATGGCATGTCTTGAAATAATAAGTAATTATGGTCAATTCAATACATCAAGTAGAGCAATACAGAGGCAGGTGCCCCCCATGACCTCAGCTCTTCCTCCTCCTGTGTCACTAATGCAAGATCTCAAAAGAGCTATCCATATCGATAGGGATCCTTTAAAAACCCCTGGACCCTGGACTTGGGCAGAAGTGGAATCTGAGATTTAACACTGAAGTTTAATTTCAATATTCCCGATGAGGAATGAAACCAGCTGGTGACACAATCTCTCCTTTATAGCAGGTGCACTGATTCAGTGTACAAACAGAACTTACTCGGAAGGGATTTCAGCCTGTCTGCTTCTCCAGCATTAGCAATAATGAGGATGATGCTGTTTCTTAGAGAGCTGGAGGGAACCAAGCTGGGGGAAGCGTCTTCACAAACTGCCCAGAAATGGCCCAGCTCCTTGACTCCAGGGCTATCCTGGTAGAAGTCCCAGCCACAGAGCTGTGAAGCCCACAGGCTGACCTTAGGCATGTCTCTCTCGGTCAGGCTGGGGCTTCTCACAAGGGGTTGTTTTTAGGATGAAGTACTTCTTTGTTTCTGGTTCAAAGGAGGGAGGGGGGTTTAGAGGGGAATTTGTCAGGGACCGTCTGTCCTCCTCCCAGTCCCCCTGGATGAGGTGAGATGAACCTGGGATCCAGAAGTTGCCCCTACAGGACAGAGGTTGTTGCATCTCCAGCTCTCCCTTTCCTGGAGGAGACAGGCGTGCATTTAGAGACGGATGCTGGTGATTCCAATATACCCTCCCCTTCCCAGGCCCTGCTGACTATATTTACTTCTTCTTTGTGATTTATTAGTAATATTGTCAATTTGCAAATATTTTTCTGAGAAAATAAATCTTCTCATTGTGCTTCACAATGGATCTGCTTGAATCCTTCACACCTACTTAGGAAAATTTGGATGGGATCTCTGGCTTCTGGATGTCTCATATAAATCTCTTCCAGCGTCCCTTGATCTCTGTCCTTTAGATTTCTGAAATGTGTCCTTCTGAAGAACCAGGCAAACTTTTGGGGAAGGAGGAAAGATGACCAGAGGCCTCTGTGTCAACACTTCCTTCTTAGAAGGTCCTCTTGAGAAAGCTTTGGGGTGTTCCTGGATTCGTCTCCAGGCCTGGATGCCCAGGTTTTGGGGGTGGCCAGAAGCACCTTTGCACAGTTCAAGCTGCTGGGTGTTGCTGCCTCCATTCCTGGAGAGAGATCTGCTCTGGCCATGGGGACACAGGCCCTCGTTCCATCCTGGCTAGATTACTGTAGCATGCTCTATCTGGGGCCACCCTTGGAAAATGTTGAGAAACTCCAGCAACTCCAAAATGCTGCAGCCAGATTGCAAACTGGAGCTGCTGACCAGGAACATATAACTCCCCTGTCATAGCAGCTCCATTGGCTGCCAGTCTGTTTCCACCCACAAATCATGGGGATGGTTTTAACCTTGTTGTTGTTGTTTAGTCGTTTAGTCGTGTCCGACTCTTCATAGCCCCATGGACCAGAGCACACCAGGCCCTCCTATCTTCCACTGTCTCCCATAGTTGTGTCAATTTCATCTGACGGGTGGAGCGCAAATGTGATCGCCTCTCAAGAGTTGTAGAGAATGGGGGGGGCAGGAAGGGGGTTGGAGTCATATTCTCCCCCCCCCTCAAATTGGAAGCACCATCTCCCGCCCCCCTCAAGAACCCTCTGCCAGGGGGTGGCAATATCTATACAGTGGGGTGGAGCGGGGGTGGGTGGGTAGGAGACTGTGTTTGGGGTAAGAGAGGGAAGGGCGAGGTTGAGGGGCTTAAGACTTTCGTGGTAAAACTGCCCCTCCTCTTGGGGTGGCCCATGGCGGTCAAAAGAGACCCCTGGCCGGACCCGAGACGAGGCCCTTCCGCGCTGTGTTCCCGTGAAGGAACAAGAGTCTTTCTGAAGGGACCCTTTGGCGAACCCCGGAAGGTGGCAGGGGAGGAAGGGAGCCCCCCCCCGCTTGCTTTGTTCACTTCCTGCCTCTCTGCCAAAATATGAAGGGGGGGTCTCAAAACAAGGCGAACAGACCTTCCCGCCCCCTTTCCAAGGGATGTGGAGAGACAATTATTTCTCTGTTGGATTTTTGGCAGCCTTCACCCTGAAAGTGGGAAAGAGGCACCCCCGCAACAGAATCCCCCCCGCCTTGTTCCTCGTTTGTTGCTTTTACACGGCCGGAGGGGTTGCCGCCTGCGACTCCTTGGTTGTCTTCTCTC